TATATATATATATTTAAGTACTTAATTTTATCGAACGTTTGTATTATTTCCATACTGTATCAGTTTAAGGATCTTGAAGAGGAGAGTGAAAAGAAACCAGCCAGAATCATACAATCATCACAAGTAAGTTTAGAAAATTTTTTCAAAGTAAATACATAGAGTATAACTCATGAATTATTGATCATTGTAGAAGGGTTGTGGACTCTTCTCCCTCTTAATAGCACCAAAAGAAGAGAGAGCAAACAATAAGACTCTAATACCTCAGGCTGTTAAGAATGCAGCGGTAAAAGCAAATGTATTGCAATCAAACGCATTGAGGAAATCTAGTACAAATCAAAACGATTTTAAAGTGAAAAAGCCAACTCCAGATAAATCACATAATGAATCAAGCTCTGATGAAGAAAATGCAACGATAGACTTTTTTGGGCTGGCCACAAGTGAAGATCTGCCAGACAATTCCACAGGCAATAATCCAACAGAATTAGATTCAACATTGCCTTCGGATGATCTTGTACATAAATCAAATACTGAAATCTTACTTATGAAACATGTGGAAGATCATAAAACACCCAATTCTTCCTCTATTAATCCTGATATTTCGATGAATGGCCAATCAAGTAAAACGTTAACAAGTAATGTTATAAATCTACCGAAAGAAGAGATTTTATTGAAGAATAAAGCAGAGGTTGGTCCAAAATTGCCTGTCCCTGAACAAGAATATAACGTTGATTTGGAAGGCAATGTTGCCTTTGATGAAAAAGCAATTGAATATCTTTGTGGAAGACGGGGTATAAAACGCAAGGAAATCGACGAAGCGGATATAATCGAAATAAATGGAGAAGACATAAAACCAGATGAAAGAGAATGGTTGGTAAAAGCGTTAACAGAAGAATCTGTACACAGGCCAGTATCTATGCAGAGCGGTGGAGTAAACTCTCAATCCAAGAAGAAACATCAAATAACTTATTTAGCACATCAAGCTAAAGCCATGGAACTAGAACTAAAAAATCAGTGGTCTCAGAATAGGATGGCACGGAAACAAACAAAATCAAAATATGGTTTCTAAAAGCAATTTGTACAAGTTTTTTTTTAGATATATGCACATATAAATGATCTTTTATTTTTAAGCTAAATTAATGACATATGTACAAAGAGTATTGTAAAAGTATATTAAAGTTTATTCAGTTGAATTGGAAATGTCATTAAAACTCGAATTTATTACTGACAATGTGATTTTTCCAAAAATATTTGTTCTAGATTTTTCTACTTTTTCTTCTTTACAAATTTTATTTGTAAGATAAATTAATGACATTTGTACAAAAAGTAAATATATTAATAGTTTAAATTTGAAAAGCCATTAAATCTCCTGAGACTTTTCTAAAAATATCTGTTCTAACTTTTCATACTCTTTTCTTTTGCCTTCTATCAGTAATTTAGCTTGCAGCAAGTTTGGTGGTAAATCCTCATATTGAGCGAGAGATTGATTTAATTCCGCTAAATTTCTTGTCTTCTCCAGGTACAGTTTATACTTATTCAATATTTTTTTCGAATAAAATTCGTCAACTTGCATATCACTTAAATCTTTTTCCAATTTCTCCACGGTTTGCTGGTATTCCTTTAATTTTGTAGACAAGAAAACCTTATTGCAATACACATCATTCTTATCCTCCTCTGTAAAATCAGTAGAGTTCTTGAGAATATCGATCGCATTTTGAAGATGATCAAGTTTTGTCTGCAACTGTGTACAATTCCTAAATAATTTATTATACTGTACGGACATCTGTTTCTCTTCTCGCTCCCGCCTTTTTTCTTCTATGATTTTTCGTTCTCTAACCACTTGCAATGACGTTTCATCAAATTCGAAAAGTTTTTCAGCTTTCAGGATCGAAGATACTTTTTCCAAACCTTCTTTTATGTCGTTAGGTAATGTCTTGACATCAAGATTCAATTTAGCTAATAAAGTTGTCATTTCCTTTGTATATGCAGTATTCTCTTCTGTTGTTTCTAAGATGGCTTTTTGCAAATCTCGAAGCAAAGAGACTTCCTCAGTTGATGTGTTTCCTTCTTGGCATTTTGCAACATCAGTTGCAACATCAGTTGCAATAAAAACTGAATCATTGCACGATGATGATGCTACCTGTTTTTAATTAATTACTAATTAATATTTCTTATAAGTTTTATCTTTAATAATTAATTAATAATAATGAAATTATAATTAATAATTATTCATAATAAAACTGATGTTACCAGGATTGTGCTGCATATTTCAAGATTATGTCTATACAAAAAATATTTACGTATGGTTTATGTTAAATTTTTTTCAACTTTTTGTCGACTCTTTTACATATAAATAAACATTCCAAATTTACTGCATTGAAAATCTTCAGTTTATGTTATGTATACTATATGATTTCAGTAATAAAATTTGGAACATAGCCAATATATTGTCAGTAAAATATAAAATATGTAAATTATTATAAATTGGATAAAACAATATTATTAATGAAAGAAGTATTTAAATTTTATGATGATTAATGTATTTGACTCAATATTGATAAGTAGAAATATAAAATAGAAGTTTTAGTGCATCATCAGTATAACAATGACAATGAACATAAACTTCAATGATCCATAGATTGTTTATAGTCTATCTAGATACGAAACAAACAGTTTATATTATATATATGAAATGTTAACTATTATATCTTACACATAAATGTTCTGATTATATTAATCACATATAATTTATCTGCAATAATTATTAATAATAAAATTACTTTCTCAATAATTATTCATAATTAAGCTAATAATATTAATAATATTATTCTCTATATAGACCTTGGTTGCATTCAATAGAGAAAGCAGCTTTACAACAATTGCAACGCTGCTTTCTCTGCTGAACACAGCCTTTGTTTACATCATTTACAGCATTCAATATGCATACTAACCAGTAACTTTCTATTAAATTATCTTAATTTCAATGATGCATGTAAACGTTTACACGATATAGCTTTAATTAATCATGTAGATTTATATTGTTCTTAGTACACAATTCTTTAAATTATCGAAATTAAGATAATTTAAGAGAAATTTATTAGTGCGAGTATCAAGATTATCAAGTATAAACTAGACATATATAAATAAACTCCTATATTTTTGGAAAGATCTATTACCTCACTGTCCATTTCATCGATTGTTTTGATCTCTTTTGATCTAACGTTATTTTGTTAAATAACGTTTTTATTCTATTCTTGTTGCCCCCTGCCTTCAAAGTCCGAAGTAAAGAGAGAGACAATACGGCGTCAGTAGTCTAGTTTTCATCGAGGATTTAAACCAGATCAGAATCAACTATAGTCGAGTATTCCCCTGTTACATTCGAATGCTCGAATATAATTGGTTGGTTCTTACATTCTAATATGGTTTAAATCGTTGGCGGAAAGATCAGTGTTACCAGCTCTGATTGTCGAAATTTCACTACACAGTTCTTTATTTCATTTATATGTACAGCCGATCACAGAAAGATTGCAACACTTTTTTTTCGAATTTCGGAATGCAATCTACTCACCAAGCGATTGATTCTTATTTATGGATCTATGAATAATGGCTTCTGCATACAGAACGTGGCAATGCTTGCCACGCGATGGAAGTTGGCACGATAGCCAATCAATGTCTCGCTTGCTCGGAATTATAAATATATAATTTCCACCGTACGACAAAAGTTGAACTCGATCCAATTTTTGCCGCGTGGCGGAAGTAATATTATATCATTTTTAGAAGTTTTGCATGATTAGAACTTAAGAACAAAATTATTGGTTAGTGCGACAACTTCCGCAAGCGTTGCCGCGTTCTGTGTACAAGAGCCATAAGAACCAATCGCTCGGTGAGCAAACTGCATTCCGAAACCCATTGAAACAAAAAGGTTTGTTCATGTCGCATGCTCTAATATGCTCCTGTCATAGCTCTTTCTCACTCCAATGCCCTCATTAGAATGAGTAAGAACAACCTAAAAGGTTTGTTCGCGAAGCACGCTCCAACATGTCCAACACGTTCCAATATGTTTGCGTCACTGGAATCAATATGGCAACTAAATGTTCGCATCGCGTTAGAGCATACTCTATGGATCAATTAAGAGCATGCTCCATTTGCCTCACTTCAAAAGGTGGTACGATTGAGACATGTTACGCACGCATGCGTAATGATTAAAAACTATTCTATTGAAAAAAGTATTTCAGATTCATTTTGTATAAAAACACATTTGATAAATGCGTTTTTGATATAAATATAAAAATATAATATAAATAAAATAAAATAATAAAATAAAATAAATAAAATAAAGTAAAAAGAATAATTAAATAAAATGAATGAAATTAGAAAAATTAAAAAATAAAATAAAATAATATTAATACAATAAAATATAATATAATCTAACTTTCATATAGAAAAGTAGGTTCATGCAATACAATTAAAATGTCAAGGCTTTTAAAAAAACGAGCAAATGTAGTTAACTAATAAAATTCGTCTTTTATTACATTCGTATAACGCTATAAATTTCAAACGTTTCGACTTACAAAGTCTTCATCAGTGATAATAAAGAAAATGTATTTATGTAACCTCATCTAATGTCAACGAACATATGATACATAATAAAAATTATCGCTCTAAGCTAATCTTATTTAGTTATACCTGCGTTAAGATATTATAGATTGAGATCAGTATCAAGTATATAAGTATATCAAGTATATAAGTAATAAGTATCAAGTCAGAAGTTTGAAAGTCCATAATTGTAGTAAAGTTCAAAATTGTGTTTAACTAGTTCTTCGGTTGTTATCGAGAATTAGCTCAGTCAATAATTTCATATAAAACGTCATTTTGAACGAGGATTTCTTCAATTATCCTATTATACAATTAAATGTCTGTCAATCTGTACAAGTAAATGTCAATTTCTGATTAAAAATTATTATATTTAATTCAATATTGATGAGAATTTATTTTTTATTTACGTTAATTTATATAGAATAGTCAATCCGTAATATCTTAACGTAGGAATAACTAAATAAGATTAGAGCGATAATTTTTATTATGTATCATATGTTCGTTGACATTGGATGAGATTACATAAATACGTTTTCTTTATTATCATTAATGAAAATTTTGTAAGTCGAAACATTTGAAATTTATAGCGTTATACGAATGTAATAAAAGACGAATTTTATTAGTTAACTACATTTGGTCGTTTTTTAAAAAAGACATATTAATTTATAACTTTTATATTTATTAAAAACGTTGTACATTTACATTTTTTTTTGTATAAAAATGTTTTTCAAATACTCGAGATAACACAAAATATCCGAAACAAAACGAAGCACATGTCCGACCCATTCGAATGGTCTCACGGATTAGATTAGGCTCACTTGTCCTAAATCCGTTCGTGTCACTGAACATTGGAGCACATGAATGCAACTGCTCCAACTGCCATCTTATCTGTGATTCAAATGTTCTCTGAGCATTAATTTGAAGTATGCGACGTGACAAACCTAAGATGTCACTGGCAACAAGAAAGTGGGCAAATTGAGAGAAAATTCAGTCACGTGCATGATAAAGACAATAGTATACTCGTCCAGTGATAATCTATTGCGCAGATATAGAAAAGAGGGAGTAAAGACGTAACCTGCAACATATTACGTTAACCACGAGTGATTTTGTTCTTGTTTAATATTTAATAAACAACAAGGTTAAAACGACGCTCAAAACATTGTGAGCGGAAAAGCGAACACAGCCATGGTTGTAACTTGACCGATAATGTAACAGGTGCATTCGTTTATGCAGTTACTGTCGTAAATGTCGTTCGTTTAGAGTGCCATTACATGAAGCGCGAAAATGCGGAAACGCGGAAACACGGAAGACAAAATTAATTAAACTTTACTAGATTTCTGCGTTTCCGTGTGTTCTGTTTCACCTATTTTGATCTCCTGATATTAGGTTGGGTTCACATCTTGATGAAAAAACGAAAAGCGGAAAAGCGGAAGCCAATCAAAACTTGCAATAGTAGTAGATGATATATTTCGCTTGTCTACTTCTGTCTTTTCGCAAGTTCTGATTTTTCGTTTTCCATTTTTCCAAGATATAAACTCGGTCTTACATGCAGTACAATTTGAGCGGAAAAGCGGAATTAGAAAAAAGGAATTAGAAATTATTAGGTGTGGGAAAAAATTCGTGGCGTTTTTTTAATGCCATCTAATGGGAAAAACGCCACGAACTTTTTCCCACACCTAATATTAATTTTTAACAGTATTTATTGATAAAAATGTTTATTTATTCAATACATAAGCTAAAAAGATAAGCATATTGATAAAAATTGCAATGAATTAAGTGAATACAATTTTTTTTAAATGAATACAAAAGTGTATTTGTCATTATATTGTTCTGCTTTTCCGCGGAAACTGTGCTCCATGTAATATTAGAGGTTTGTTCGTGTCGCATGCTCTAATATGCTCAGAAAATGCTCCTATCATAGCATTTACTCACTCTAATAATTTACGCGCTCGTCAAAGTGAATAAAAAGCAAAGCTGTAGCAAGAGCATATTAGAGCATGCTGGAATATGCGTTGCGAACAAATTTTATGAAATCAAAACAGGCGGAACAAAATGCGCGAAAACGCGGAAATCTAGTTTAGTTAATTTTGTCTTTCGTGTTTCTGTTTAATAACCCTTATTCTATCTGTGAAGGCGATTGCAGTGCAATGTCATTCGTTTACGTGTTAGGGATGTATATTATCTACGCAGCTATCTCGAAGGTCTGCTCAGAATGTTCTGCTCGCAATACTGCGTAAATAAATGATCAACTGCGCTGCAGTTGCCTTTGCAGATTGGATATCTTGCTGTTCATAATATCACCAGCTATAATAGTCGATTGTATTACTAAAAATGAATTTTATTAAAATATTTAAAAATTTAAAAATTAAGAACAACTTATCGAAATCGATCCTACTAAAGTGAAAATAATGCAACGTAGATATATAATGGAAAAGGTGTGAAGTTTGCTAATTTGTATTTGCGATCAGATTAACCTAAAAATCACATCTTTTAGATGTAGATTATAGATGTAGAAAATATCAACAGATAAGAATTATGAACTTTTTATAAATAAATTTTATAATATTTCTAGATTTTTTATTTAGATTTAATTTTACAACTCACGATTAACTCAAGGTTCAACTTATTTTTCATCTCTTTCCAACTCTAGCATTAGAAAGAGATGAGGAATATGTTGAACCTCAGTTAAGAGTTAACCATGAGTTGTGAAACTGGTGCCCTATTTTTGAATACATATATGTATACAATTTTTGCATACGAAAATGACAGTTTCTCGATTGTGATTGATCGTATACGGAATTGCTATTTCTGTAAGCAACATTTATTAAAAAATAGGGCCCCTAGGTCTTAAAAAAATATCATTATAAATAAATACAAAATTAATTTTGCATGCTTTATTTTATATTTTTCAAATATAAGAGAATAAATGAGAAAAAATAGAGGATTTATATCTTGAATTTATTATACCTCGTGATTCATACGTCTGCACACGCTTGTGGTAAAGTGACAAAAGAAAGATATTACTCACTAATGGTGCTACGATCGCCGCATGTTCTAGCACTTACGAATTTTAGCGCCATAAATATGAATGCGCCAAAATATAATTTCTATAATAATGAACTATAATTATGGGAAAGACAACCAAGAAAAAATGGGAAGATTTTTTCTGGGTTATAAGTGCAATGCTTATAGAAAATGAAGCAGGCAGCGTTGATTCTGCATTTTATGTTGTGAGTTTGTTTTGTATGTGACAGACGTACATGAGATGTACTATAAGAATTAGAGACATCTTGGATATAGTCGATATAATAACGATTTAGTTAAGATTTAGTTAGTCAAAATTGAAGTTTAATTATTATATTCAATACATCTTGACAATACACAAAAAATGATGTTTTACTGAGACGTCGCATTAACGTTTCTAGTTTATTCGATATAATCACAATATATTTAGTATGAATATTGAATGTTAGCATATCATGTGTTGTCTGGGTATCTACTGATAAAGAAAATGTTTTTTTTATTTTATACTTCCATAAAACAAATAATGTAATCATTCCATAAATAAACAATTTAAAAATAAGAAATCAAATCCTTTTTTTTTGTAAAATTATTTTTTAATGTAAAGAAGCATTTATATTGATTTTAACCATATGCCGTATGCCGTAATCTGTAAAAATTGACCAATTATT